TTTTTTTTTTTTTTTTTTTTTTTTTTTTTTTTTTTTTTTTTTTTTTTTTTTTTTTTTTTTTTGCTTCTCTGAATTCTTATCATTATTTTGTGAATTTAATTTCTTATGAATCTTGTAATATACATATGTGATGAATATATCAAATGCATATAAAGTTTAAAGTTTTGAAAAACTTATCTAAGTTTAAGGCAGTGGGGAAAAAAAAAAAAAAAAAAAATCAAAATCAAATGTTTAAAGTTGAAAGGAGAGTGAAAATTCATTGTGTATCAAAATAATAAAGTGGATGCAATGCAACAGCAGAGAACATCATTTTAAGCCGACTATACGAAAACCTCAGCCCCCCACAATGGAGCTAATCAAATTTGACATTCCTGCTATGCTATGCTATGCTAGTGAACTTGTGATCATCTGCTGCTCATAATGCCAGTGCAAGCATGGCAGCCATGGTGAGAACACCACATTCTAAATGTGTATTCACCAAAAACAACCACTTACCTACTTACAAGAATGAATCGGTGGCTCGAAAATCGAGAACTAAGCACAGTTAAGAATTTTCCATTTTCAAGTCTATGGAAATATCAGTTGGCGATGATGATGCAGTCTATTAACAAGACCAACTTCTTCATTTTGGTATGAAATGTCATGGAGATATTGAATTCTGATCTCTTGCCTTTGCCAGTTTTGCTTGTATGAGTTTGTCTAAGATGGGAGGCTCCAAAGGAATGGGGTCGAGACAACGCTCGGATGCTGCGACTATCACCTGCACAAGAACAGATTTCTGGGTGGTTATTTCTTGTAAAAATTGAAACTACAAAAACTAAAAAGCTATGAAGCAGGGATACAGATATAGGACAAGGATACAGACACAACAATACGTCAAGTTCTAAATAGACGTGTGCCCGGAGCGTATCCAGACTTATGTGTGTCCCACACGTGTCTGACACGGAAACTCTGCCTAAAATAGTATCTGTGGTCTATAGCTCAAAAGTGACTGAAAATAGTAATCAAGTGCAAATCAGGGAAGTTAACTGAGAATAGGAAAAGGAATTTCAAGTGTAGAATGTCTAGCTAAGTTTTCCAAATTACCTCATCAAGCAAAAAGTCAATAGCTGCTTCATCATCTGCAATTTCCTTCAGAGGAGTCCTCAGGAACTGCATATCCAACTGAATTTGCTGGAACCCGCTTCGGTTATACGTCTGGAGTCGGACGAATTCTTGCAAAGTTTTAAGGGAAAGTTTCACTGCAGTTGTTACAACAGATCCCTGCAATTACAAGCAAAAGTTTAAAACTGTCTGATTTTGGAATCAGGAATTGCTCAAGAAAGGAATTTGCCATGGTACCTGAGTAAACTCTACTCTAGTAAAAATCTCTATCTTTTGCTTAAATAACTTTGCTAGATGGGATTCCAACAGCTGGCTCCGAGCCCTTTGTGCACTTGATCTATTCAACTTTTCCTCTCGGAGCGGACCACTCCGTGATGAAGTGGTGCTTCCATTGCTGTTAGTCCGACGATGCTTACGAGTTCCTTGTAGTAAAATCTGTCTAACTTCACTTCCCACTGCCTCCAACTGATGCAGGAAAAAAAAAAGAAAAAAAAGGTTAAGAGTTGCACTCAATTTGTAGGCTTCAAAAATCGCCTGTTCATTTGTTCATAACATAACAGCATCACAGTAACATGAAAACAATAGCACTAACCTCTTGAAGGAATAAATCGACAAACATGTGAACTTCTCTGGGCTCCTTGTGCTGCGGAGAAGATAAGAAAAGAAAAGAAAAGTAAGAGAATTGAGTAATAGTAAAAATAATAATTAGTGTAAAACTCACCTTAACCCAATTTGGCGTTCTAAACCTCTTTGTTAAAAGAACTGATATCCTCTGGCTTCTCATGTTTATATACTGGGAGATGACAAAAAGTTAGTAACCGTGATTCACCAAGTGAATGCACTAATAGAAGGTTGCAATTATAATTCTTATACTTAATTGCAGCTAAACACGTTACAATAAGATTCTTCTAAACAAAATCTAGACACGGTTATAAGCAAAAGAGTATGAAAAGGAAAATCTAAACAAAAGAGTATGAAAAGGAAAATTGCAACTACATCAAAAACCGAGATTATAAGCGGAGCGAAAACAAAGCCAAGGGGGGAAGCAAGCGCGCCAATCTAAGAACAAAACATCTTCTCAGCGGCTGGAACAGGGAACAAATCCTCCAAAAATGGGTCTACAATCCATGAGATTTTGCAGTAACAAGGACTCAAAGAAAAACAAAGGCAAATGAAATAATGCCCTAGACATTATACAATGAGAAATTCTGTATTGTTAATAATACCGTTACTATAGTACTCATCCAATTTGCTCCATTATAACTAGCATGCAATGCAAGCTTGAAACATTTCTTAGCAGCGTAATAGGAATGACAGAAATCTGAGCCATACAAGGTGTAGAAACTTTTCACCAGCAGCTCTAAACATTCGGCAAATTTCTGCTGGTACAAAGGCAGGACCGTATTCATAACCCCGAACGCCACCACCAGAAAAAGAAGCCGCTATTTCCTGAAACGAATACAATATAAACTTGAGAATTTCCATGAGAATTCATAGAATGCACAGGCACAAGAACACCTAATAACATGCATAAAGTCTCGTTCTTTAGTGAGCTTAAAAACCTTTTTGAGAATAGGATTCAAAACTTATCATGCTACTTCAAATTGCTAGAGAATGGATTAAAAGAATTAGAATGATGCCTTGCCTCCGTGATTCTATGGATGGCAGTTTGTTCGATAAATATTGAAATTTGAGCAAGCACCAACACAAGCCCAGCAACAACTTTATCCGCTTGGTTTGCCTCAGTCAAAACTTGACTTTGACTATAAGAATTATTTTTTCCTGAAAGCAACATGAAACGATCAACAAGTTCCCTGAAGAAGTCCTGAAATCCTTCTTGAACCCAATCAACAATTGAGTCCCTCTGGTTAATGATTAGGCCCGATTGATTTTCAAGAAGCAGGCGGAAGTCCTGAAACGAGTAAATGAAAAATAGTTAAAAACTGTCAAGTAAATGAATGATAGTTAAGAACTGTCAATGCAATTAATATCTCAACTGAAACGAAAGATACCAAACCAAATTCAATAAACTCAAAAACCTGTACTACTTAATAGGAAGTGGGATGGTTTTCACATGATACCTACAAACTTCATACTAGTACTTTAGAAATGGAGAACACAGATGAACAACCTATACAATAGATCCTGTTCAAGAAAGGTTGTAACTTCATACTAGTACTTCAAAAATGATAAATAAGATCACGGGTAATTTCTTTAAGATGAGAGAATAAATGTAATAGGCCCCCAGTTTTCACATAATGCCAACAAAATTCAGACTAGTACTTCAAAAGTGATATTAAGATCATTGATAGTTTCTACAAGTAAAGATAATCAAAGTTCAATGAGTTCTCATACATTTAGTAGATATGGTTTAGTTTTCATAGCAATGCCAACAAAATTCATACTAGTACTTCAAAAACGACGACATAAATAAATAAATATTAAAAGAAAAATTATCAGAGACTTCTTCAAGAAAAGAGTGTCAGAGTTCAAGGAGTTTTCATATATTACTAGCAAAACATCCATGCTGCCCTGAAGCACTGCCTTCTTGCCGGCCTCCAGTGCAAGCTGCAAGGAGTACTCTTGAACGTCCTCCTTTTTCCTAGTATGAACTCGTGTGAGTGCATCTGTCAATGCAAATGTAATTTAACTCAAACTTTTAGAGCCCAAAGGACACAGATGTGTTTTCTGAAAAAAAAAAAAAAAAAATCTTGAAGAATATAGGAGACCTGAGATGTTTTGCAGGAGGCGAGAGAATGTGCATGTGACGTACTGTTTGACAGCAACCTGGGCAGCCTGAATATTACATAAGAAAAGTTCAAAGTCAAGTTCAAAATTAAACTTCCTCCTTCCCTTATTCGGACATCTATCCTTGTGATAAATAATAGGGGAAGTGCAATTATTTTTGTACGGGAAGAGGTTAACAAAATGAAAAAATGGATCAAAATTATTGCAAGTGAAAACATTATAGAAAATAAGACCTTCAAGGAATAATCATGAAGACATGCATCATTCAATACTTCTCCAAGTAAAAGCACATCTGTCCATATAATCCCTGCAATAAATTAAAACAGTTTTAAGAATTTCCAGCTATAATTTTTCCACAAAAGTTTGATATAGTTTAGTGTCCA